AAGAAAAATTCAGCGCTGAAATCAAATAGACTCCTAAACCAGTTTTCAAAGAGTACTTTTCAAGATGAAGCTGGTCAATGCAATAAATCTTAAAGACAAAAATCAGGCTAGATAAATACAATAGTGTTAATACTTACTACAGCAAATTCCACATTTTCTTCAGTGCTTGTATGCTCCCTCAGGGGAACAGTTCCAGAAGCAGTGACCTGCAGGACCAGTATCAATAGAAGAAACTTCATTCTAAACTACTCCTGAATAACTTAGCCTAAATTACCCTGTTCCTTTTCAGTACAAGTTCCTTAAACGTCCCTCTTTATATAGTTCTTAGGGCAGGCTCTAAAATGAAATCCTTTGAGTGACTCACAGTTGATATCATCCTTTGATTTATCTTGAAAACCCGGAAATACAAGCATGACCTTATTCTAGGACCAACAATGGGTCAATCAGCAATGTAGTCATCGCTCACTCAGAGTTCTAGTTCTTCAAAATAAGCCATTGTACAAGAAATACTAAACAACTAAAATATACAAGTAACTTTAAAATGAATTTTTAGAAAGTTCAGTACCTGAGTTTTCACTGTAATACTTTATGTTCACTATAAATGAAATAAGCTTTTAAGAAAAAAACTAAATTTAGAAAGTTAGATAATTAAAATTGCCTTGCTAGAATAGAAGAATCCTCTCCAAGCTGAATCTAGCTCCCTAGAGAACTATGTTATAGAGATTTTATGTTTATCAAGAAAAAGTTCATAATATCATGATGCTTCGATGTTAGTTCTATGTGTTGTACAGGCTTAGATCCTGTTTCTATAACTTCAGATCTTCAGCTATCTGAGCTGAGGCCCAGTCCCAACTGCATAGCTGGGTAGAGAAATTCCAGAGGCAAATTTCTCTACCTCCCAAAACATTTGGAGTTGGCAGCATGAAGATCAACACTTCAATTTTGGAGGATACAAAAATTTTCCCTCTGGAATCTCTCTACCTCCCTATTAGCTTAGCTTCCCTTCCAGTGACCTAATTGTCCAATTAACACAGAATCTTCCTTTCAGTCAATACAGAATGTTCGAAGACTGAAAACACTTAAGAATACAGGCAGTTAGTATATGACAAGGGAAGCAAGAAGTTACACTGGGGTAAGGATAGCCTATTTAATAAATGGTGTTGGGAAAATTGGACTG